CATCCTGCTGTTTTTAATTTTAGACGAAATCATGGCCTTTGAGCTGTTACAAGGGTGCCAGAGATCAGTAACACCATTAAATGGGAATGTGGAATATGAAGACTCTGTTAGCATTGGCTTTCTTTAAAATTTCCTTCCAAGTTGTCTTTGGTGACCAATATTCAAACTCAATCTACAAAAATAGTTTAGTAGTGTATAACTTTGTAGTCAGCACTTATTTTAGGCAAGAGAATTTTTTATCTGACTCCCATTGGCCTTTTTACGTGGATTAGATGGATTTTGGCCATTATTTTCCCTTTTCTGCTACGAGAAGGCTAAATAAATGCTAGAGGCAGTTAAAGAAGGGGTGTTCATTTGAGTTTTAAATTTGACTGAAAATAGTAACAATATTCTGAAAGTGTTTTTAAATTTTTTCCAGACTTTGTGGAAAACTCTTAGTTTGTTTATTGTGTTTATTATAACAATGATATAATTTTTTAAAATTCCTTTGTTAATGTGTCACTTTTATTGATTTATTACATGCCTCATCATCTTCTGAAAATTAAGGTAGCTGTACTTTGGAATTCATGTTAAATTAACCTGCTTTTCTTTCATTTTTGTTTTAGCCACCGGAGAGGCAGATTGTGGTTGGAATATGTTCCATGGCAAAGAAATCCAAATCCAAACCAATGAAGGAAATTCTTGAACGAATCTCCTTATTTAAATATATCACAGTAGTGGTATTTGAAGAGGAAGTTATTTTGAATGAACCAGTGGAAAATTGGCCTTTATGTGACTGTCTTATTTCTTTCCATTCTAAAGGTATTAAAGAAAGGGGGAAGAAACTCCTTGATCCTCTTTGATTATAAAACTAATACATATTAATTGTAGAATATTGGATAAAACAGAAAAATAAAATGAACTAGCCCACTCTCATAGGTAGATGATGTTAACATGTGGATGTGTTTCTCTCCAATCTTTTTCTTCTATGTGTATTTTTTAAAAAAAAATTTAGTGTCACAATCTACGTGTAATTTTACATTTAGTTTTTTTCACTGTTATATCAATAGGATGTTTCCCCCACCACCATATCTTTCTTCAATAACCTGGCTTTTAATGGTGGCATAGTATATATCATTGTGTGGATGTACCATAATATATTTAACTTGCATGCTAACATTTGGATAGTTTCCAGTTTTCACTATGAAAAATAAGTTTGTGATGAACTCTTTGAATGTGTATCTTTGCATCCCTAAATTTCTTAGGATAAATTCTTGAATTATTGACTATTTTAAGCCCCTTTTTTGCATATAGAAAATAGTATATCATTCTTCATATACATATTCATACTTTATTTCTTAAGAACTTAATATTTCAGATTTTTAGATCTTTCTTGCCTATTCAAACTGAAATATCAGTTAAGCTTAAGTATTAATTTATAGTAAAGTCCAGTAATCAGAATTATTGCTAAATGTATATCTGAAAATTTATAACCTAAGAATCTGTGAAATAAGTGAATTTCCCACCAAGATCCGTAATTGAAAATGAGACGTGCTCTCAATTGTAAATGTATTCATATTTAATTATAACTTATTACCAAAATATGTTGTCCTGAGCTATGTTAAAGTCTCACTTCAGCGGGAAGAAAATGAGGCATAGTTGAGATTTTTTTGCGCTCCTATAACCTAATTGATTTACATTATTTTATAGAGAAATCAAGGCCCTGATGTTTGCAGACTGAGACTGCTTGTTTTAGAGACTGTTAAAATTTGCTTATCTTTGAGGTTACGGTGTTCTTCCCTTACCATTTATGCTTCTTCCTATAAAAGCTATTTGCCTGTAAAAGCTAGATGCTACATAGCTAAGGTCATATGCCATATACCATCTCTTGGTAAGGAAAAAGCTCCTCTTTAACAACAAAAGCAGGGAACTGACTGTGTAGAGTTTTCTATTTGCTGAATTCTGTTAGGTGGCTTCAAATCATAGTCACCAAGACATCTTTACAAATGATGAATTCTGAGAGTTTCTATAAAACTTGATGGATTTGTAATTTGTAGCCAAGTGATTCTTAGTATACAGTATCTTTATTTAAATTTAGAAACTAAGAGGAGTTTAGGAATAAATCTTGTTTAACTGACCATAGCTTTTTGTTGTTTTTTTTTTTAACTTCAGTATGTTTTAATACTTTCTCTTCTAACTGTTCTGGTAATGCTGCAAAATTCAGTCTCTTCACAGGTATCCTTAGTATTCTAGAGTTAAGTGCTAAAGTTACATATGCTTGCTGAATTTTACCCTTTTCTATAGATAAGATAGTTTTAAAAATATTGTCACTTAAGCAATAACAGGTGACATTCATTGAGCACTTACTCTGCCATATACTGTGCTAAGTGCATTATATATGCTCTTTTATTACTCAAAAACCCTACTAGGTGAGACTGGTATACTCATTAGGCTGGGATCAGAGGCTTAGAGATGTTAAATAAATTTGCCCGAGGTTGCATAGGTGGTGAAAGATGAAGCCAGGATTTGAACACTGATTTATGTTCTTAACCACAATGACATACTACCTCTGTTAATAATGTGAATTGATAAAATTGGAGACTTCTAGTGTCAATATAGAGAGTAAAATATAATCATTAAAATTCTTTAGATTTTTTGGGGGAGCCTCTTACCATATCTGCCATTTGATTGGTTTTCATTGTAATTATAAATAGTACTTTTACAAAAGTCTAGAAATTTTAGGGAGTTAATTTCTGATATCTTAACATTGATCTAGCAACAGCATGATTCTGCTCATATATTTTATATTTTGAACATATCTGTTGTATATGAATTAATTATAAATAGTACTTTTACAAAAGTCTAGAAATTTTAGGGAGTTAATTTCTGATATCTTAACATTGACCTAGTAACAGCATGATTCTGCTCATATATTTTATATTTTGAACGTATCTGTTGTATATGAATTAATTTTTGCTTTTGCTGCTATTTTTAAAGGTACATAAAGTTCTTTGAACATCAGTTAATTTATATGTGTAGGCATCAAAATATCTAAGTGAAAAGAAGAGGTATGGATTATATTTTTTAAAAATCACCAGGTGATTGTGATACACTTATTTATATATAGATTTCTTTATATATAAGGTGACTCTTTCCTTCTGTCAGATGACTTTGACTAGTCAGGCATTGACTAATGTATCAGTGCTCTAAATTTGATTATATAGCCACTGGTTTGCTGTACCTTATCAATCAAATTAGGAAGAAATAAGATTTAACAGTATAAGTTAAATCAAGGTTTATGTATTGTTTTATACCTGTTATAGAAGGC